TCAAAAAATAAAAATTTTGCGGATTAACGTTGGCTCTCTTCCTCCCTTTTTCTCTCTCTACCGTGGCAAGCTGTGTTTTTTAAATTACAAGTGGAACATTGCAGATATCTTTTCACAAGCTTCGAATTGCCGCTAAATTAATTCGCTCTTAAACATTCCGCGTCCGATTATATCCACTTGCAATGAAGCGCCGATAAAAATCTAATTACACCACTTCGGAGGAACGCGCGTGATAGCTTCGTTTACTCGATAATTATACTGTCGCCGTTAAACCACCATCGTAGAGGCGCGCGAGAACGCATCCACGGGACATCAAACGCGCCCGATTATAATACTCTTAAAGCGAGAGTTAATTCCGTGCCGGGAGATTTCGCTACGTCTCATGCAAATTTATCTGCGAGCGTTTCTCCCGGCCTCGCAGCAACACGCGAGAGGAACGAGGAAAAGAAGAAAATAGATAACATAAGGGAACGAAACGCGCCCCGCGCAGCATCGCGCGCTCGGGAAAGCGGATCCCTGGACCGTGAAAAGAGCGACGAACAATAACTGGATAACGGTTATGACGACGCGTTAGCCATACGCGGTAACGCTAGGCCGTTATCGTCGACCGTTCTGGACGATCCTCCGGTATTTACCGCGCGAGACCGATTTCCCTGGCGATGCGAAAAGCGACGCGGTACTCTCGTACGTAGGAAACAGTATCGCGTAACGGCGACACTTTCGGAATTTCTTTCGCGATTTATGGCCGACTCAGGACGCCGCTAAGTTCCCCCGGTGCTGTCGGAAAAGCGACGGCGATTGTTACAACTTTCGAGACGTCGGTGAGCGTAGCGCCCCGCGATAAATTTGACACCCGCGGTAGATATTCGTCTCACGTCGAGAAGCAAGTGTCGTCGTTATTTGCCCGGATTGCAGACCTATTAAATTTAACATTCGGATAATGATTCGTTCTTTCATTTGTCGCCGGCTTAACTAGATTGTACGTGAAAAGATGATTGTTTATATTTAACCGTGGGGACGATGTATGAGATACATTCCTAACTGTGCACACGTATCAAGATCACGTCAAATGATAAATCGTAGTCAAAGCTGGTTTGGCTAAATTTCGCCTTGCTGACCTAAGCCTTGACGATGAATAATGATTAGGGAGCGAAAGTTCATGAGGTTTCACAGCGAGTCCTCTTAGCCGTACGGTCCCGGATGCTTTGGACATCGGACTAGTTAGCCAGTCGACCGGTCGACCGGAATAGTAAAGTACATAAGAGATTTACTCATACTCAGAGTGTTAAGTGAAAACAACTGTACAGCTTATTGAAAAAAAAAATTATCTTAACATATTACAGTGTCATAGTATCCATAGTAAATTAAAAAAGATATATTTTAAAATTGCACAAATTATCGCAGCTAAATAGGAATGCTAAATAGGAAAGCAACTAAATAAAAAGGTAACTAACAACAGTGATAATTTTTTATCTAAATTAAATTGTGTATTACCGACGACGAGAATTTCCTACCTACGTTCTTCCACTTAATATGAAACGCATTATCCTAGATACGAGTCCTTGATAGACATCGTTAGACCTCGGCAGCCGTCCCCATCACCGCTCCACTTTACGTACGAAGCCCTCGTGCCAATAAATTTCTGCCTGGGAAAATGAAAGTTCGGGCGGGAGGAGACGGCGAGTTTGGCGAATAATTTCTATCATCGCGCGTGCTTCGCTAAATTCATAACCTAACGTTTAAAAGGACACTCGAGAGCTCTGCCGCTGCCAGGACTACGCTGCTCTCTCGGGCGGCTACAGGTCTACGAGGCAGCGGCAGTAAATCTTGGACCGCACTTAATTACATTCCCAGCCGGCCCCCCCTCTCCCACACCCTCCCCCGGCCGACCCTCCTCACGGAACGGGCTAACGATGTTTTTAATGTTCGGACTTAAAAAAGCACCCCCGGAATACCTATGGCGCCGTAAACGTTCCTTCGCCTCTACACGCCCGGGAATATTAAGGGCTCGGTTTCGCCGGAAGAACCGCGGGAAGATAAACGACAAGCCGGAAAAATAACAGTTAAATTGAGATTTTCGCTAACGTCAGGTAATTAAGCCTCTCGCGGGGCTGTCGTTCGATCGATCGATTCGATTCGCTTTAAATCTCTTTCGATTACGTTCGGCGCAACATTGAAACAACTCGTTATTGGATCTCGCGTGACTTTTCTTTACACTTCCGTCTCTATCAACAATTGAGATTGAAATCAAAGATTCCGATTATTTTCAAAATTATTAATTTAATAATTAATTTTAAAACCATCTTTTTAACTCTTTTCAACTCTTCGTATGAACTTTAAAAATACAGAATATATTTTTCACCCTATATCTCATGTATTTTCAAAGAGTTACAAGCATACAAATATCGATGCCAGAGGCGAAATGCCAGAACTCTCCGGGGGAGGGGGGGGGGGACGTCGACGGTGACGCGGCAGAAATGTAACAAAGATCCACTTAGGTGGCTTTTGCCATGGAACATCAAAAGGCGGCGTAACCGGGCATCAACCGGTTTCCGCACGACACGGCGGATTACGTTGCCACGGCGGGGTACGCTCGATGAAATTTGTTGATTCGAAATCCGACGCGGGGAAGCTCCGCGAGAGAGGTAAGCCGCGTTTCGGAAGCGCCGAGTAATGCAATATCGGGAGAAACGTGCGGCGCCAAGGAGAAAGGAGAGCGGCGGATATTGTACGGGGCGCAGTAATACTAAAGCAAACGAGTACATCAACCGCTGACTAATTGCGGAACGTTGCTACTATTCGCGTAACAATGCGGCGCGATACCCGGCGGAAACAGCGCCAGCGGCTGGCTTCGTTCGCTGCCAAACATGACGCTCGCTCGCTCGCTCGCGCGCTCGATTGTTCGTGCACCACCTCGATGTCATTTGAATTTTAAGAGCACAATTCTCTTGCTAAGCTAACGTACAAGCTTATTCCGCGATGTCTTGTTATCGACCATGAGGAATAAGTCGAGGATAGTCGAACTGGTGCACGGATTCGCCTACAATTAATTAATCAAGCTCCATCAGACGCGCCGGTGGTTGTTATTCAGTTGAGAAAATTGATTATTATTCGGTACAATCAGGCTACAGAAATATGAGATTTTGCGACAAAAATGTCCTGAAATAGACATCGGTATGACGATAGATTTAATTGCTTTGGGTCCGTTTTATCGATCTCTTCGCATCGTCTATCCGCCTTGAAAGACGAACTACGGTGCGCGGCGAGATACACGCGAGAGGCGTTGCCATGGGATGAATTAATTGTATTACGAGACAAGCGTTCTGCTAATGAGCTAATCTATAGCATTTGCTCCTTTGTCTTGTAATTAGGGAGGACGCGACGCGTTAAAGCTCGCTTGTTCGCAAAGTCTCAAGGCGCTTAGGCTACGGCCTCATAAATGCCCAAGTTTCTCTAAATGCATAATTAAATTTTCACTTCGCATATTCAGAAGTATCGTAACAAAGTATGTGAATTATTTAATATTAAAAAGCACAAATTTTTGGAATTGAAAAAAAAAACGTGCATATGTATCTAATCTTTTTCCCTTTTTAATAAAAAAATTAAAAAAATGTTTTATCTCGCAACTCTCTACTCCTCTATACACAATAAATATTTTTTTTATTAAATTTTATATTTATTTAATAAATTTCTATTAATTTCATACAATTTTCAATAAAAAAAAAGAAAGTGATGCATTTTTGAGATTTTAACATTGAATCATTTATTGAATCATTTCTGGTGTTGCTAAATTTATATAATATGAAATTTCAGTATTGATGAAATTTTAATAGTATTGATGAAAATTTTTATCGCTATTGAAACAAAATATTCAAGTGCAAAAGTCAATGAGAAAGTTTTACTAAGAAACAGTATAATTTTGTTATTGTTTTTCATGTATGCGTGATGATCTAATCAATAGAAATTAGCATATAGAGAGGTAGCGAAACTGAATTTCCACGTTAGATTCCAAAGCCATTTAGCTCGAGTATTAACAGTTGATAATCGTATTGAAGTTCGAAACAGCAAATTGGCGACCAAACCAGTCCTAATCAAAGGTCTAAATATGCTGGTACCACCAGTTGCAATACACGCAAAGGTACAACCGTGTTCGTGCCCAAGACGGATTTAGAGATCAATACGCGAAACTCCTACTTCTCTTGAAACGAAAATACGCGAGCGAAAATTAATTCGAAACATTCGATAACGCCGTTGATATACAATTTTGGAATAATACGCGCGCGCAAGCGATATCGCGAAAATATCTATAGTCGTTATTATTCAATTAATGAACGTTATATAAATCTTACAGATATGTAGATTTAAATAGCATAGGAATGTATACGAGGTTGGGGCAGCCCACTCTAATAAATTGTGACTCATAGAGTGCAATAATGGTCGCGAGTTTTGGTGATGCGCAATAACGATACGCAAATAGAGAAATTACATTTATTTTCGATATCGGCATGATATAAAATCGTTCATTTAACTATATCATTCCGCGTGGTGTGACCCCGTTACTAATATTGAAAAACGTATTGCAAAAATTATTTTTATTGCATTACGTTGTTGAAATCAACGCTATCTATTTTTTTACAATACATATTTAGCGTTCTTTTCGGCTTTTCAGCTTCAGTCCCATACAAAAAATTTATATTTCGGAATCGAGACGTATTTTGTTTTGTTTTCAAATTAAGCGTTTTAAATGGGACCATTTCTATGATCATTTGTAATCCTTAAAAAGATATGTAATGTCATGGATATAAAAATGCGCTTTAATTATGCGTTATCGCGTTTCTAATGCAATCTTCGCGACGCAGTCGTCTCGATGGAGGATGTCTTTTCGGCTGACTACATTAGAATACACGTACGACTTGGCGGCGTGTCGCCGCAATCTGGCATTCGGCGCGTAGGGTATTATAATTAATCATAATTATGTCAGCGGCACTGCCACGGACGTCCTTCTCTCCACTTCTCGTGCCTTGCGCTAACAACAGATGGTGTCCTAGATTTGTCACTCGTAGACGTGCGCGTGCATACAATTCGAAAGAAAGATCGAGAGTAACGACCGATGTGAACCGACATGATAATATGTGATGTGAATAGGTTCGCAAGTAGACGGAAAAAAACGTGTATCAGGTATTAGAGATACATCCAAGAAGATAAGTGGATGTTAGAAAATATCGATTGTCACAACAAAACTTACCACACCCAGTATTGATGAGGTTCCACAAAAATTAACTATGTCTTACCTGCAACAGAAAAAATAAGATGCGATGTAATAGAGTAAAAATTTGTCTTTTAAGGACAAAGGTGTAAGTTTTCAGGTTTAATTTTGAGCAATTGTATGATTATACAACGCGACTAACAAGTTTGATGTAATAATTAATAGGTTTATCGGCGATCCTCATCAGGCCCGAGTTTGGAATTTCTCTCTCGCATTCTCTTTTTCTCCCTCCTGTTCGCCATAATCCCTTCTCGCATTCATATTTTACGAAGTATTGTGCCGTTCGAACGGGCCGGTCGGCCGAGAGAAGAGCACGGACGGACAGTGAGAGCTGATTTACAGAGATTGTTTCGTCGGGCTCCGGGAGCCGGATGGAAAGTAACAGTGACATGCTTTTACGACTGCGGGGTCGTTAAAGATGACGTGTCGGTTCAAGCGCAGTCCGCTTGAACTACGCTCGCGTTTACGAGCCATAATCGACGTGATCCCCTATAACCCGCGTGAACAGGTCAACCACGTTATCGACCACGAATGATGTGATTGCAAGTAATTAGAAACAGCAGATAAAAAAATTAATTATGTTGTTCATTAAATGATTATCGATTTCAAATTTTTGCAAATTAATGTACATAAATGTATACAGTTGAGTATAAAGAAATTTAATTAAAAACTGAGAAACTCTATTTCAAAATAAAAACAAAATCTATCCCGACTAAACACAGATTTTTTTTACTTGATGATGATTTTAAATGCTATATAAAATATATGCGTGATAATTATTTCTTGTATTTGTATGAAAATAATTACTTTTCAATTTCATTCTGTTGTATCTGACAACAAAGATAAATATATTTTCTTTTACGTCTTTTGTTTTTTTTAGATAAAACTAATGGCTTTTGAATATTAAAGAGGAACGTTTTGCGTTTCGCAGCTTTCACGTACGTGGCTTCCCTCGGATTTTAATTAAAGCCAAGCCGAAAGTCGGCGAGCGACGAAGATAAAAAAAACATGCTCTAAACGTGGCGCAACGAAATATTCCTACGACTCGGTAGCATATCGTGCACAAAACTTGGTCCCCTTTTGCTGCCCCCGTAGGTACCTCAGCGCACAATGCAATCTTCCTCGGTCCGTGAACACAATGGTAAAGTTACTAAACTTTCGGAATAAATCAAACGGAGCAAAGATAAAATTGTAATGAGCGCGGAGATAGAGAAATTTATGTGTCTACTTCTGCGGTGGACTTCTACGTGGACAAGATCCGACCGTAGAAAGAACTATTTCAGAACGAATTGTCTCGGTACGTACGGACACCTTCGTTTTCTCTTCGCTCTTTTCCACCCTTCGTCGCGCTCGTGAAAATTTGGCGCAACAATCAGACAAGAAAATTGTCCGATTTTTTTTTTTTGTGAATTATGTTTTATAGCTACACATCGGACATCACGATGATTGTGCGTGTTGCAAGAACGTAAAGCTAGCTGCATCTTATTTCTTTCTTGTTACTTCTTTCTATTCCTCATATTCACCTTCATTTATTTTTTTCTATGACATACCAAATTCATTGCGTAATAAAATCAGTAACGAACAGTAGCAAAATAACTTTCCGGCAAATTATTTCATTTATTACTATAAATATAGAGCTCTTTAATTTTTTTTATTCCTAACAACGAATAAAATCAACAATAAAAAAATTCATAGATTTTTATTAGTTCTACGTTAATATTTTTTTATCTTTTATGTAAAATAAATACGATTTAATGGACATAAACCTTAATTTATGTCTTGACTAAATGCCTATGAGATAAGTTATTAATAAAAATATTACATCCTATCAGTTACATTATCATTTAATTAAATAGAATTCTATTTGCAATATAGCAGAAATATTTAATTTCTCGAATGCGCAAACAAAAGTTGGAGAAAAACATCAGGAACAGAGAGTGCCGCCATTGATTAGAAAAGGTACGAGTCTACGAGATAGACCAAAGATAGGAAGCGATTACGACTCCATAACGACGTTGTAGAGTAACCCCATTAACGGAATCCTTTAAATCCCATTGCTCTGTACGCTGCAACAGTACAGTGAAATGCCGTATTATCGTCCACAAGGATGTTTCGTACAATAGGCACAGACGCAAAAAGGAACATCGAGAATAGACGAAGGAAGTGATAGTTTTTGGTTCTCTCCCGCCCACGACTAACGCGTTTCATGACTCGAGGAGTTAATCTTCGTTTAATCGCCCGTTTTACGAGCTCATTCTGTCAAATCGACTATCCGGAGGATACGCGAACGCCAGACGTACGTCCTTGCAATTTGCGCTCAAGTGGCCGTTAGACATAGACAGATACAGCGCCTTCGGTTTAATTATCCACGGCATACAGCTTTCTCGTTCCACCATCGTGCTTCATTAACTTCTCCGGGGTCTTCGAGATCTCTTTTGAATCCTACCTTGAATTTCTTTTCTTATATCTCATTATATTTACCGCACTTTCTATAGATATTATTCAGTTGCTGATGTTTTTTTATTGTTTCCTTATTTTAATAATTCATTATCTATTACATCAAAATTTCTTTATTTTATCTGAAAGAATATTAAAAACATGAGTTTTCTTCATTTAAAACGAATAATACTGCATTTTTATACTAATGTAAAAGTATAAATGATATTAAATATGTAAAGTGTATAGTAGAAGATTGTAATTACAGTAGAAGCACAAGATATACGAGCCGACAAAGAAGTAGTATATCTAGCTATAGGCAGACTTCTACTACTTATCGAGAATTTTAAGCATATAATAATATTAGGAACTACGGGAAGAGAAAAACAAAAGAATGTATATTTTGAAGAATGTACATTTGGTTATAAAAATAAATAAATACTTGTTCTTTTTTTGTAACTGTTAGAACTTTCAATTATTAATTGAATATCGCAGGCATCAAATTTTTATTTCCAAACGCAAATTTAAATTCCGACAAGAATTTTTCGCAAAATACTGATGAATTTAATTAAAGAATTTACTCTATTGCGAGGGCGATCGACGCAAGAGTGCAACTAGCAGCAAGCTCCAAATATTTTATCAAGCTTTTAGATCTCTCGGTCGAAGGAACTAAAGTCCTTCGACGTAGTCGTGGTGGTAATTATTTTGCCGCCATACCACCAGATAATTAACTCCGTCTGCCCTCGTAAATCTGACGTGTTTCCAAGCGATAGTGCTCGCGCTGATGCCACCACAGCAGTGAATCGGGCCATGTGCCATTTAACAGGACATTTTTAAGGTGGAACCGTTTAACGAGTACCGCCGACCCGTCTTGCGCAATTAACCGACGACCCTGCTTATTTTCATTAGATCCCACCACCAATGGAGGATTTTCTTAGATCGATTTTCCTCTCCTCTCAAAAATAAGCACCGCACATTTCTTCAAAAAGAGAGCCATTTTACAAAAAGAAATCATTATTAGATAAAAATTGGAAAAACGAACGGAAGTAAATCAAAATGTGCTTCAAATCGAAAGATTATAACAATTTTTAGTCTGTCGATAACTAATATATAATATCGTTCTAGAACTTTTCTCATTTAATAATTTAAAAAAAAATTTCTTAAAAATTATAAATATCTTTATATCATAAAGACATATTAATAAGAAAAAGCGGAAAAGAACAGATGTACGAGAATCCCTCTGTAACTACATCGTCTAGTAAAACTAGTAAAACATACAGCTTGATCTTGGCGGAAACGCGCGCTTATCCGTGTCACGCAAGAGCGTTTAACCAAGAGCCCGGGAAGCCGGAAGCGAGAGCGAGAGCGGAAGCCGGAAACACCGCGTCGTCCTCGTCGGTAGCTAAATTCATCAAGTCTAGAAGTGGCGTTCTCCACGCTACGAGATGGCGGGTGGGCTTTATTTGCCGGCTGCACAAGCGTAGGGCGCCGGGCCCCTTTCATTCGTGCCCTACTTATCTTCGTTGTCGCGCCGCGCTGTATGCCGTTCCATAAAACTGTCAACTAAATCATCACGCGTCTCTCTCACCACCGCGAACACGAGCAACGCGGAATGGCTGCGTTCCACTTCGAAACTAAGCGGCCTCCCCGCACGAAAATGCGGAAGCGCTTTTGCCGAAAGCGGTGCGCGAAGTCACACTCGGAGAAGTTTCGCATTAGCATTTTCAGACGACAGAAATCGCAACGACATCGTTACAGCATCGCGTTTTCGGCAGGGTGTTTAAAATCAGAGCGTGCGCCAGCAAACATCGAGTTTTACCAACGGCATTTCATCCTTCCAGCGACAGAGAAGTAAATTTATGGGTACACAGCGAACGGTGTACATTTTTATTTATCAGCGAAAGTGGCTCATGCACACAAGTGCAATTAGAGCAAAATTAATACCTGCGCTCCGTGTTAAGGCGTTTGTTTGTAAGAGATTGCGGCGAACGCTTTCGCTTCTATCTTTCGCTAAGAGCATTTGTCTCTTGTTTTTATGACCCATTTCAACGACGCCGAGATACGCAGCGTACAATAATTGAAGCGCCGAGAGCTAGGGAAGGTGCGAGAGAGACAGCGAGATCTAAGCCGCACTCATAACAAAACTGAATTAACTGAATTAACACGATAATAGCGTTACCAGAGAATGCTTTCCAAGTACCATGGTTAGAGCAATCATTGTATTTTCGTATAACTATCATCATGCGATCTCTAATATCGCAATGTGCGAATTAGCATAAGTTATTTATTTAAATTACATACTCTAAAAATGTTCAACGTGTTCAACTACCGCGGGATTATGTTTCTTATCGATGAAGATATCAATAATATTTCACGCGAAATCATCGGTGGGTAAGAAAAGAGAAATCACGGTGAACAATGCAATCCGGAGACAGGTTGGCGGAATTTATGCGCCATTTCGCGGCTTCTTCGGAGTCGCAACACGACCAGCTCCAACGCGCACAGCATCCTTTTCCATTTCGATGACATTCGGAATCTTCCGCCAGTGATATCCAGACTAAAGCAACTTGGTCGAGGCCACGCCGGGTC